AACACGTGGTCTCCGCAACTATACGTCACGAGTTGACGCTGACGATCAAAACGTGTCTTCGAGCAATCTTGCGAAGCGAGGGTGCGCAGGTAAGCAAGACTTCGGACTTCTTCTGCAGTGTAGACGATCTCGGATATACCGGAATCAGGATGGTCGGAAAACGGAAAGATGGTATCCATGTTATGACGAGGCGGCCGAGCATACAAAAGAAAGAACGAACTGTATTTGGTAATTTCATGCTGTACGGTGCTAAAGGCGTAAGTGACAAAAGGTAGCACGCCGCCACATTTCTTGTGATCTGCTGCGACATACATAGATAGCATGTTCGTGAGAGTCCTGTTAGTTCGTTACGTTAGGCCGTTTGTTTAGGCATGATATGGCGTAGAGTGCCGAAGCTTCAAGCGCATAGACGAACATATTTTTATTCACTTTTTGGAAAGCCTGCTACGACTCATGTGGGCACTGGTTTGTGCCAACTTGTAGGAATCGCGGTTATCTTCGTAAGAGTGTGGCAAAAACGTGCTCTATTCCTTTTCCCTTTAGGATAACTATACAACAAATCCAGTATATTTATTGTTATTCAAATTAAAAACTCTTTCATACAAATATTACGACCCTTGTAGAACTCTTTCTTTGTTCTGTAACAGGAACTGAACAAAACTTTTGCGATAGATGAACGCTGAAACTATTTTGTTTAGACAGTTCATTCATATCCAGATGTTACGTGTGCACTATTGTTTTATATTGGTGGCGTCGGCAGGAGCGGTGCAGAAGGGGCGCTTTTTGCCCTCAAACCACACCTCCACTTACCTCCCCCCCCCCCCCCCCACGCTGCTCAAGCGCACGCCTCTCCCTTCCTCCTGCTGTTTCTCAACACGGTTTCGCAACCCCTCCCTCTGCTCCAAGACAAAATACTGCCGATGCCCGTGGTGTGTATGGCCATCATTGAAGGAGGTTTTGCCTAACTTCCTCAGAACAGCGTCGTGCATGTCTCGATAGTGTCTCGTATATATATAAAATTACAAGAGTTGATACTATATGCACCACTGATCAATTCAAGGATATGTTGACCTGCTACTGAAGGAGACCGCACAATGCTGTGAACAGTTGCCATCATTTTACGCAGCTTTTGCTGCGAAGCGTTAAACTGCTCCACCACGACTGAGCTCTTCATTTTCAAGGCCCTCAAGAATGAACTTGTCGCAAAAAAAACATCTAGGTTTGCCACTGGCATGGGAAGCACCACACTGTAGCATAGGTGGGCATTCTCTGTTACATTGCAAGTGAGTGACACGTTCATCTACAGTGCCGTAAAAAAACGGTGTTTACCAGGCAGTTTGTCTGGAACAGAACATTTATAATAATGATTTGTTGCTCTCTTCATTCCTATGTATATACTGCTGTATGGTGATAGAAATGTGAACAGCAGAACACATGGAATTCAATCCAAACTATAGCATTCCTCGACTACTGCTAGGTGTATGTAAGCTTCAGCCGGCATGAGTGTAACACAAGAGTCACTTTCCTGCTGGTGCTATTGCACAGCAAGAGCATGATTTTGTCCATACAGTGCACGGAGCTGCACATTCATCATTGTTATATTGCTGCTCACTAAGCCAAAAAAAGAAAGAAAGCAAGAGGGACTCAATTTGTGAAAGGAACACAGGTGCAGACAGAGTGCAAAAATACATTGATTGTTCCTACGTATGCTGCATTAACAGTATCAGCGCATAAAAAATAATTTACGGAGTTTACAAAAAGCAAAGGGATAAAGCGAAATGAGATAAATTTATTTTGAACAATCACGGTTTCCTAGACATCTTACTTTTTGAAATCCTTTCATTTGCAGTGGACGTTTACAAAATTCTAGTCTTGTGTCTTCTTTTTTCTATTGAAAAGGCTTGTATTTGTGTTTGTACTGGAAACCCATATAGATTTCAGATGTATATCTCTCTCTTAATTGGTGCACAGCACAAGGGAAGACCTTCCGATGATTTCTGCCCAGACGTCCTCGAAGCCACTGTGCAAGCTGTCTGTAGCCAATGTAGTCGCACTGCCTGTCAAGAAGAGAGAAAGAGCAACAGTCATCATTTTCCTTCCAGCATATCTACTTTACAAACTGGTCTTTCTGGCCAGAGAAACTGAGGAATGATTTGGCGTGATGCTGAGTTGAACTTCAGTAGCATCACAGGCATCTCGTTGTCTACCTCCAACCTCGTTTCCAAGCTGGACGAATTGATCCACCGTAAAATTGTTCTTGGCAGCGCAGTGAACTCTGAATCGCACAACATTGTGACGTTGGTTGGAAAGATGAGAAGACAAAAAGCACTGTAGCATAACTGCGTTCAGCTGTTCTGGTCAGTATAATGCCTAAAGGCAACAGTTTTCAGGCACACAATCCTGATGGTCAAAGTGAACCTTCTGCATAAGAAAGGATGTATGAATGGCACATCAGGAAGCAGCAATGTTACTTTTTTCTTGGTGCTATTCTTGTGCTTGTGCCAATGCAGTGGTATGATCTTTGAGCGTGATGTAGCACATCCTTCTAGAAAAAAAGAAGGCCAAAGAAAAACTCATCTCATTCAATGCAATAGATTGAATAAAATTTGTCAATTTTCAAAATGTCGTCCTAAGCCTGTCTTTAGAATTGTCCAAAAAATTATTGTGACAACTGATTGCCTGTAATAGGTTGCATGTAGATGAGCCCGACTGAATCACGGCTACCACAAAAGGTAATATTCATGCACATCGAGTTCTAAAATATCTGCTTCAAATACTGAACATGCCGTATTTTCATACCACTGATCGAAATTTTGAAAATGCAATAATGTACGATCAACGTGTCCTCACAAACACTGACTTCTATATTCATTTTGTCATACATCGCTATCAAATCATTTTGTAATGCAAAATAGTGACTCATGCACTCATAGCCAAGACAGGTGGTTCGTACCATACAAGCACACAAATTATCTCATTCAGTCACCGAGACGTAGCATACCTTGATTACTAACTAAATATTAGAAAGGGAAAGCACTGCAACCAATTGGATGTGCAAAGAAATCGGAGTGTACTTTTGCAAAGCCGAAATAAGGAATAAATAAAATGAGGGATTTCTAGCATTTTAGATTGTTCTTCTTTTTATTCCTGCTGAGGGTTTCAATGAACAATGTATAACACCATTGTCGATCAGCCATGTTTATAATTGTCCTTTTTTAGTGTTGTCACTACCACCGTTTCTGATGTACAAATACGTTTGATCAATATTTTGTTCAAGATACTGTTTGTTTGTGTGTTATTCAGGCTGTTCAATTTATTCAGTTGCACTAAAGTGATCATTCAGGTATATGTTGAATATGTAGGTATGCTGGTTTTGTGGTAGTGCCACGATGTGAGTTCCTTTAGGCCTATATAAGCTGTGTAGTGCAGCCTTTACCTGTAGGACCCCCCACAATTCAATTGGAAACGAAAACCGTTTCGGATGTATTGTATGTATAGTATGTGTGATTGCAATAAAAACACTATTTACAAGTTCGCGCTATGTGTGTGGCAGCAACTTGTTCATTCCTGTCGCGATGGATACAACATAAAAATTATGAATCTAAGCCAAGTTGCCCGGCAACGTGACTTAGCAATTATTTGAATGTTGTTCTCGTAGGTCTGTCTTTTAGAGGCCTATATATTCTCGTGATCTTCTCAATAGACGAGCACTTCCAGCTTTTGCCATGCTAAGAATTCAGCACACCTATTTCCTATAGTTTATTAACAAAAAAATACGCTGCTTCTAAAATTTCAAAGCTCATTCGGTGAAGAGCTATACATGAGCTATACAAGTGTAACTAAGGGCTAAGTTTGTTTTCTAACCCGCTCTATAACCAACACTTTTTTTCTACTGACATACTGCTTCACATGCAGCCTCGATTAAACGTCGCACACTCAAAATGATGCATTTAGAGGAAAAGTGGTTATCATGGAAATGGGCATGATAGGTGGCCGCAATGGGATCAGTAAGTAGGCGTCCTTACGGAAACAAATTATGGCTACAACACTGAATATTATCACGTAATGTGGGTTCATAACATATTTTTGGCAATTGCCCCACCGCGGTGGTCTAGTGGCTAAGGTACTCGGCTGCTGACCCGCAGGGCGCGGGTTCGAATCCCGGCTGCGGCGGCTGCATTTCCGATGGAGGCGGAAATGTTGTAGGCCCGTGTATTCAGATTTGGGTGCACGTTAAAGAACCCCAGGTGGTCTAAATTTCCGGAGCCCTCCACCACGGCGTCTCTCATAATCATATAGTGGTTTTGGGACGTTAAACCCCACATATCAATCAATCAATATTTTTGGCAATTGACACAATGAGTGGTAGGATGGGGAAATTTATGAACTTGAAAAGTATCCTCCCTTACTATATGCATCTTTATGTAAAGCTTCCTCTGAAATAAGACAGCTGGTGTAGTTGTTCTGACATCTACGCGGTATTTTTCATTGCATCCTTTTCCCAATTGCTGCTTCATTGGCGGTAGATGAACAATAAATCAAAGTAACGTGTCCGGACTGCGGCCTATTTTATTCATTATTATCAGGCAGTTATCTCAAAGTAGTTAGAGCCCTTCCATCCTGTTATGGCAAATTCACAAATGCCATGGAATACATAGCGTTCTCGCGTTCAGTCGTGAATTAGACCGAGCAGAAATTTTGAGGGGTCAAACGAACTGCTCGGCCGCGTCTTATGACATAAAAAGTGTGGGGGGTGGGTAAATATCGAAAATTCTTATCGTGCACGCACTGACTTGTTTCGCAGTCTCCACTTTGTGAGGCATGATGCTAACTCATCGACACGTTTTCTTAAGCCAAATTGTGTGAAATTACAAAGGAGTTAGAACTTTCACGAACACTCTCTCGTACACCAGCTTTTGAAAAAAAAGCAAAATCACGCGGTCATTTCTTTATGCTGTGCTGCTGTTGTGCAAGCTGCTTACCGTTTCCCCGGCTAGCCTTCAAACAAGGTCTTCGGACATTTGAAGGACTACGCTGAGCACTACCTCGTCAAGGCACATGTGAAAGTATGGGTGCTCTGTAACGCACCCGAAGGCTGCCTTTGAATCGCACCTGGATATCGCGGCACCATACGCTTTCAAGAGCGGTGGGCATCGGCATGCACTGTCCGCAGGTACACCTAATAGAATAGTTAGATTAGTGATTGCACACACTGGCATACTGCTCAACATAGGCTTCATTAGAGACTTGAACGTACCAGCGGGTATTTCCGAGACGATCGGGTTCAAGAGGGTCATTGTCGGGGCTTTCGCTAGCGGAGATTTTTCCACGAAGTCCCGATACGGCTGCTTCCACGCCGCAGGTTTCTTCACCATCGTCGCCGCTGCCACTGTCCTGGTCTGATGAGGGCCGGTCTCGCATCCGCATTGGTTGGTCGGTGTACGGCTCAAAGCCAAAGAACCCACTGCGCTCGAGCATACGACGCTGTAGTTCATAAATGGTGGCCATTGCACGCTGTGTGTCCATGATGTTGTGGTGTTGCCGGTACCACAATCAGAACAATATGATGTACAAAAGCACAGTCAACTTAAATTCAAAAGCATCGCTGCGTCGCGATGCTTTGTCGACGACAGAGACTTTTCATTGGCTGTTGTAAGATGACGTCAGATGCAAAGTTGATGAAACGTGAGCGGGGAAACTGAACTCGCGCTTTTTTAGTAATTGAGCAAACCCAGGAATCAAACGAGTCGAGGTATAGTAATAAATAAACGGCCAATATTATGAATACACACGTAGTTCAAAACTTTTCGAGGGCGTTTCATGAAACTATAATTGTTAATTTTCTGTTTGTCTGTCTGTCTGCATGTATGTCTGCTTCCTTGACACGAAGGGACGCTTCACCCCAGTCATCTATCACCGCGTGATAATGTTTTAAGAACAACTAACGCCATCTAGCTACATTTTTAAGTGAGTAACAGATCAATATATTGCAAATATATTTACAAAATACATTTGCAACAGCGGTTGCAGCGCTGGCCAGTCTTGCTCCAAGCTCGAGCAGCAAGCCACATTCATCCTCATTGTCGGGCGCACATGCGCATTGACAATTTGCATTGCGGCAGCCTACATGTAGCAGAACTCCTGTCGGCAAAAGCGCCGTCTCGGTGCATCTAGACGTCAACGTCATCGGGCGAGTGGTACTGCTTGAGGCGTGTGACGTGTACGATGGCGCTGGCCCGAGGGGCGGAGGAAGACGGTGAGGCAACAGGAGTGATTTCCTAAGTGACGGGAGTCCCCGCACGAAGCATTCTGTATGACCCTGTGTAAGGAGAGAGCAGTTTGTAAGACAGGCCAACTGGCCTGGTCAGAGACCACAGCAAAACCAATGAACCGGGCGAAAAGTGCACATCGCGGTGTCGTTTATTATACCGACGCCGTTGGTTTTCTTGGGAAGTCAGAAGGCGAGCATGAGCGGCTTTGCGTGCGTGTGTGGCCCGGCTGATGGCGTCTAGGACATATTCTGTGGTCGGAGCTGCTGGCAACGGAGTAACTGAATCGAGGGGCAATGTGGGTTTGCGGCCGAAAAACAGAAAAAAAGTGCCGCCATATCCACGAAGTGAATGATGATGAGTGGGCGAAGCTCCGGAGGTAAACCTGGTAAACCATGAATCCTCTGTACATTTTGCCCACTCGATTTTATTACATCACTCCCCCTAGCGTACGTCGCCGCACTAAATCGAACAATTGCCTTCAACCAATGACACGAGCCATATGTGATATCATTCCTATTTTATAAGATCTCGCGTCTTTCATCAACTACAAGTACCGCTTTCTAGTTTATAACATCTTGCATCTTTTCATCATCAGCTACAAGTACCACCATCTAGTAAACACTACAAGAACTAAACGAGAGGTGGCTACATACAGGTGACGTTACCGCCATCTAGTGAACACTGCAAGAACTAAACTAGAGGTGGCTACATACAGGGGACGGTACCGCCATCTAGTGAACACTGCAAGAACTAAACTAGAAGTGGCTACATACAGGGGACGCACAGCCCACGCCCTAAGGAGCTTCGCCCCTAAAAATGGGAAGTAACTGGTCGTGTCTTTGCGCGAAGAATTGTACGCGAATGTCACGTATGGTACAGTGAGGTCTCAGACAGAGTGGTCTGGGGAAACGAGCTTTGAAAACATGTCAGTTAGGGTTGAATTCAGACGCTCTCTGAGGCCATTTCTTTGCGTATGGTACGGCGTAGTGAGTTTTTGGTGCGTTTCACATGAGCTTAGGGCGTCCGCTATGACTCTCCTAGAAATGTGCAGCCTCGGTTCGCGATCAGCTGGTATGGAGCACCATGTTACAAGATCACGTTACGTAGAAGGAAACCGGCGACGTCTGTGGCGCAACTTGTTGCAAGGGAACGTGTGATGACTAGCGTGTGGCGCAGTCAGGGGCCACAGCTATCCACGTGTTGCCAGCAGCAGACAGTGGTAAAGGGCCGAGTAAGTCCAAGCCGGTGCAAAAGAAAGGTTCAGAAAAAATGTCGAGTGGTTGAAGGTGCTCAGCCGTAAGCTTCGACGGTGCTTTGCAGCGCTGACATTCTTTACACGCCGCGACGTATCTTTTGACGGAGCCTGTGAGAGCTGGCCAATAGAAGCGGCAGCGAATCTGGCTGTATGTGCGGGACACGCCGAGGTGACAGGCAGTAAGAACATCGTAGAGTTCGTGGATTGCAGCCGAGCGGAGGTGTTTGGTTATAGCAAGTAGCAGAGATGGGCCCTCTGGATGGAAGTTATGCCGGTATGATGTACCACTCTGGAGTACGAACGAGCGATGGAATCGGTCCGATGGAGAGGAGTCAAGGTTCTTGATGATTGCCCGTAAGGCTGCATCACGGCGTTGCTCGTCGGATATGTGGGTCAGTTGGGAAACGGAGCACACGCAGGCGTCGTTGTCAGGTACGGCAGCTGATTCGCCAACTGGATAGCGAAAAAGGGAAAGGGCGTCCTGATGCAGGCGCCCAGCGTTGTATGTCGTAGCAAACGTGTAATCTTGCAGTCACAGAACCCAATGACCAAGTCGACCTGTGAGATCTCTTAAGAATGAAAGCCAGCAGACTGAGTGATTGTTGGTGACGATAGATAAATAAGTGCCATATAAACAATAACAGACCCTTTGTTATTCAAGACTGCAATTTCTCAGCAATGCTTGTAACTATACGCAGTTTCCATTATCTATCTTTGTCTTGTATGTGCTTGAATTCTTATACATTTCAGTTGACTTATGTTGCCTTCCTGATTTGCGCATGGACACTTGTTTCTTTATTTTGTCTTTTTTTCTTGTGTGTTATAAATGTTGTACCCACTCCCTCTTAATGCCCTACGGGCCCTGAGGGTATTCTAATAAATAAATAAATAAATGAATAAATACAAGCTGAATTTTGAGATCACCCAGACAACAGCAAGGCGTTCGCGCTCCGTGAACGAATAGTCGCGCTCGGCCGGTGAAAGGACGCGGCTAGCATAGGCGATAACGCAGTCGTGTCCCTTTTGACGTTAGGCGAGAACGACTCCGATACCGTGACCACTGCAACCGTTTGGACGCCAGTTGGGGTGGATGGGTCAAAGTCGGCCAAGATAGGTGGCGTCGTCAAAAGCGCGATAAGGTGACAGAAAGCGGCAGCTTGAGTGGACACCCACGAAAATGAGACGTCTTTCTTTAGAAGATCAATAAGTGGTTGCGCGATTGCCCCAATGTCTTAAACGAACCGCCTGAACTACAAACAGAGTCCCACAAAGTTTCGCACATATTTGGCTGACTGGGGTACTGAGAAACTCTGATGGCACGAATTTTCTCAGGCTCTGGCCGCACACAAGAAGCATCAACAAGGTGGCCCGACACTGTAATCTGCCGGTGGCCGAAGGGGCACTTCGAAGAGTTGAACAGGAGGTCAGCATTGCAGAAGTCGTCGAGAATGGCTGACAGACGCTCACGGTGGGTCTCAAATGTAGGTGAAAATACGTGGATGTCGTCTAGGTCACACAGGCATGTTGACCATTTGAACTCGTGTAGTAGGTGTAAGGAGGCGGCTAGCATAGGCGATATGTTCTAACGTGGCGGGGGCGTCGCGTAGATCGAAGGGAATATGCTTGAATTGGTACAGGCCAATAACAGTGACGAAGGGGGTCTTTTCTTGTTCTTTCTCGCCCACGGCGATTTCCTAATAACCAGAGCGAAAGTTGATGAATCAAAAGTAGCATGCTTTATGGAAACAATCGAGAGCGCCATAAACAGGACAAAGGATACACGTTTTTTTTCGTAATTCAATTCAGATGACGGTAATCGGTGCAGAAACGCTATGTGTTGTCCTCCTTTTTACCCAGGACGACGCGAGACGCCCATGGGCTTGATGAAGGCTCAATAACGTCTTAAGTTAACGTGTATTCCACTTCGGCTTGTCGGCTTGAATCATCTGACGCTCCGATTCGGCACGCGATACGATTGATGGCGAATGGGAGTAGCATTACCTGTGTTGATGCGGTGCTGGACCAAAGAAGTTTGGTCGAGTGGTCGATCGTCAAGGTAGAAGATATCGCGGTAACAAGCTAAAGGGCAGATGAGGGTGGCTGGTTGCGCTGGGGGGAGGTCATTAGAGATGGAGGGACGTATTGGCCTGTCGAGGCGTGTGGTATTGGGTGGGCGACAAGGAAGATTGGGGCATATGTATGTCGGCTGTTACAGTGGTGTTGTGGTCATCGGCTAAGCGTCACAACGTGGCGATTAGGATTTCTTCAGGGATGATTTGCTTTGTGAAGCCGAAATTTATGATGGGCAGATATATCCTGTTAGCAGCTATAGTAACGACGCAGTGAGAGACTGTGACGTCACGTGTCAGTAGGACATCAGAAATCGGCGTGACGATGTAATGCACATCCAACACGAGTGGTGCGTGGTGAATTAAGCAAATGTGGCGGCTTTATGTGGTAAGCGGAGGTAATCTGTGGCATAGAGGCCACGTTGAAGTTAAGGTTGAATATCCGGCACAAGAGGAACGTGAAGAATACCAGCGGAACAGTCTATCAGAGCAGATTGGTTCAACAAAAGGTCCATCCCTAAGACGAGGTCATAAAGGCAGCTATAAATCACCGTGAATAGGAGAGAAACAAGGCGTGCCACGATGCTTATGCCAGCCGAACACATCCTGATGACACTACCAGTTCCGACATCGCCATCACGTACAGCTTGTGCAGAAGGAGGCGTGGGTACTTTTTTCAGTGGTCAAAGTGGTCGACTATTGCCGTCAAAGAAATACCGTCGACGTGCACATCGGTAAGACTCTTGTTCGTAGGAAGCGTCAATGGGAGATTTGATTCAGCCAGAGATAATGCAGCACTACCTCCTGCATCTGCATGGTGTAGTTTTTCGTCGGGTACGATGGGATGTTGGTCTGCGAGGGATGGTGGCATGGCTGGGGTGACGGAGAACAGCGGCGTTGAGGGGACGGAGA